CGTTGCAATGTGGTATTATAATTTGGTTGATGAATTGGTTGATACTTTATAAAAGTAGGGCAGGATATCATCATTCAGTGTTATAAGAGTTTTAGTCGTCAGATTTATTTTCACAATTGTTTGTATCTTCATAGTTTTAACCGTTGAATTTAGTTTACATTGAAAATAGAACAGTTAAAACACCTGTAACATTTTCAATCTGAAGTCATTCATTCCTCTATTATTAATGTTACGTACTATTGAAGAAATTTTCATGGTATTAATAAGTAGATACATGTGTTATAAGGCGAGAAGATTAGCAAACATCAGCTGACACTATAATAATCAGACCAAAAACACTCTCGTTGAGAAAATTACAATAATAAAAGAACAAAGATTCCAGTAGAGACGTTGGCATCGCTCAACAAATCATCAAAAAAGAAAGAATGATTGTGCTTAGAAGTTATCTCCAACTACTAACAAACAAGCCTTTCCCCCTCTTATATATCACTCCCCTCCTTTGCTCTGATCAATAGCCTAGTTTTTGCTCTCTGCACCCACTGGAAAGTGCTTTCTGCACCCACACTAGAAGCTTAGAAACTGCCAACTGAGCTTTGCAATGGGGAGCAGAGGGCCGTCGCCACTTGTACCTTCTCTATTGGTGGGTGCATTGGGTTTGATCGTCTGCAGACCTACCTTAATATCCCTGTTTGAAATCTCAGTGTCTTTTTTCCAAGTAGGTGCAGAGACAGAGCGAAGAGCCAGCTTTGCCTTTGTGATGCTTCGATGCATTGTGTAGTACAGGGCATCATATCTCGCTCTAAGTGTACCAAATGGTCGTGTCAAAGCAAGTAACTGCTCGAATCACCCGATTTCTGGCAGACCATGCTACCTAATTTGCCCTATATGGCGTGCATTGGCTCCTAAATACGCTTAAAGCCGTATTCATAAGAAGTGATGCAAATATATCCTACTCTATTTCCTCAATGGTTTCAGGAATAATCATTATTCTATCAAATATCCTTAAAACTCAATGACGTTCTTCCGGAATGGAGAGAATATAAGGCATCTTTAATGATAGTTCAGTACCATTCATATAACAAGGAGCAGTGATGATACCCTTAATCAGGTTAGATAGACCTGAATTTGTTGTTAGGGGGTGCTTTAGGTAGGAAGTGTGTAGTAGCACATTCTTCCAAACAACTAACTTCACCACATTTGTTCTTAATCACATGTTTAATTGAATTCGGTCACCTGTATACAAGAAACATGATTCAATTAACTCATATTTGAGGACACCATCTGTAATTTAGAATGAAAAAAAAATACCAAACTTGAATCCGAGAACATAGGAAATTGTTCACAAAATAACCAAATTTAACTAAGGGGATGGTGTCAACATTGACATTTCATGTCAAAATTGTGCTCTTCCAAATATGTTAGGTGGAGCAAAATAGTCTCACATATTGACTATATGAATGGTACTCCTCAACAACATTGATAGAGGTACAGTCAAATGCATAACCAATGATCTCTTCCATCAAGACGGAAATAGATTCTGTAAGTTGAGGTTCGAGAATACTGTCCCTTATTCTTGAAGTTTTTGATTTTGGGTGCCAAGGAATCGCGTTTATGGCCGTGATGCCACCCCTTGGTAGGCGTTGATTGTAGCACTATTAACGTGCTTGGATTTCATAACCATGTCACGACCCCTTTTGAATTCTAACAAGTTAGGTTTTGTGAAACACTTAGCATTTTCTTCAAGCAAAGGGAGTGTCTTTGAGTGAGTATAGGCGCACCTATTGAGCTGACATTAGGCGAACTGTTGTGCTTTCCAATGAGCAACATGGTAGTAATCGGATTCAAGAATCTGGTAGTCTTTCGTTCTCTACACTACTACTTCAGGAGCATGTTATAGTCGTGGAAGGATGAGAAAAATCTTCTCCACTCAAAATTTGATCGGATTAGATAAACTTCATAATTGTACCCATTCATGGACGTAAATTTTTCAATCATTTCTTGCTTCAAGCAATCTTTCATGATTGAAAGGTCTATAGAGCAAGCTAAAAACCGTGGAATCCTCTTTAACAAGGTACTTCTTTTTGTAATGCTTTAGCCATAAGTCTTCACATGAAGATTATGGCGGTTCTTATTTAGCTTTTCCACGCCACTGTTGACTTCAATGGATTCTCAGCTTTTTTCGTAGTCAAGTGGAGCTCACATCTCGTACGAACGTAAAGTAGTTTTCCTCATAAACTTCCAAATCAATGAAATCAAACTTATTACAGTTTGACAATTCGTTGAATGGAGGGAACAACATTATAGTTGGTGCTATGGGAAATAAAAACTCCATAAGCATCAAAGTTAGAATATTCGGGTTCTAAGACATGGTTTGGTCTACTGGATCAATCGTGGCGAACTTTGGGTCTCTAATGAGTGGTGAGTTTTAGGAAAATTTAGGTTTCTATGGCTCCGAAAGTTCAGATTAGGTGTTAAAAGTATTAACTCCAGGTTCATAATACCTGCAACAAACACAATGTATACAAGACTATATGTGTGTGTGTGTGTGTGTGTGTGTGTAAAGTGAAAACTAAGTCCTGAGAAATAGTTTCAAGGCTTCATATGGGTCAAAGTAAATAGGTCCGTTTTGGACTGCAAATCCATTATAGAAGAAAAGAATTCAAGCTCAAGGCCTAAAAAGCCCAAAGAGAAACAAAAAACACAAGCCCAAAACAAATTAGACTGAGCTTTCTGGTGTGCAGGCCCAAAAGGGCTGCGGGTCTGAGTTGATATCAAGCTGAGTGAAAACTGGGTTAGTTTCGCCGGAAAACCATGGCGTGGAATCGCTGTAGGTGGTGTGGTGCATGATGGCACAGACATGGAAATGATGTCAGGAAAACGATCTCAGGTGAGGCAAAGCTGATGGTTTGTCTAGAAACCACGTAATCACGACATAGAGGATTTCTCGACTTTGGGATCACGAAGCATGATGGCTACAGAGACAAGCCCTGTTGGAAAATCCCACATCTGTGGGGGAAGTCAACAATGAAGACTTTAAATAATACCAAGGTCTTTTTATAATAAAACCTCACATCTGACGGATTGGGTCCATTGATCAAAAATTCCAACAATGTATCAGAGGCCACGGTTACAGGCCAATGCAAGTCGAAGGCCTGTCACTTCGAAGGCCTGTCACTAAGAAGGTTACAGGCCAATGCAAGTCGAAGGCCTGTCACTAAGAAGTGTGGGCTTGAAAATAAACTTGGATTTTTAACATAGAGCCGGTCTCTGAGGGGCTTGAAAATAAGCTTGGATTTTTAACATAAAGTCAGTCTTTGAGTTCTTAAAATATACTTCCTAGAATGACTGAAAACAAATCTAGACTCTATTGGAGCCAACCTCTAAGTTTCAATTGCTTGGATCTCCACTTGTAAACCATTAAAAGGGATTCTATTAAAGGAGGTTCTATGTAAGGGGGCGTGTTGACAAATCCCACATCGGTTGGGGAAGTCAATAACAGATAAGACGGATGATAATTATCAAATTGAGGATAATATCGGAACCCTTAGAGTAGGGTTGCTCGGCCCATTGATCATAAATTCCAACATGCCCGAGTTGCTTGAAGGCCGGCGACGTCCCGAGAGACAACAGCGAGCATGGGTGTATGGATTAGAGGGGGAAAATACAATAAAATCTGCATCGAATTTCATCAAATTTGTCCAGTAGAACAACGCTGACCTGAAAAACGATGACGTTCAGGTAATCGGAAGTCCACACTATCGGCGTAGGTGTCTCGACTTCGGTCGCGGGTTTTACGTCAAAATCCCAGCAAGATTCTTCTAGAATCTCGTGTTTCTATGTATGGAAACAACTTTTGAAGTCCAAGATGACTTCCGTTCATCGGTGAAATCACGAACATCAACGCAAAACACAGTGAGGTCGCTACAAATCGACGGGGAAGACGACACTCGGGAAACGGTGTCGTTTTGAGGGCTAAAGGTTTGGCTCGGCTCAACGGCACGGCACAACGGCTCGGCGGCTCGGATCACAAGGCTTTAGGCCCTGGCTAGGCGACTCGACATGATGTCAGGGTTTGAAAAAAAAAGATCGTTTTCTTCTTCCTTTTGCTTTGCTTATTCACACATGCCAATTCATCACAATTATAATAGGAGTAGTATAATATAATTGCGAACAATATTTTGAGGAGGATATATAATTCGGTAATCGAATATTAAGGCTCATGCTCAACTGTAAATGTTTCATGCAATTATGCTGAAAAAATATCAACATTAAATTCTTGTGTGTAGAAGAATGTGGATTGCGATTACGAATGCTGTGTACGGGTTTATAGAAGAATATCCTTCAATTCCTTAGCTCAGCGTTAGGAACAATAAAGAGGGACGGAGAAAGGCTTGAGTAATTATGTTTTCTTCCTCATGCCTAGTGTCTTTATTCATGGAGGTAGATTGTCTACCCACTGTTTGGTCATGATTAAACCACTTCAACATTTTATATTAATTTTTTAATAGAGATAATAAGACAAGAAGTAATAGGAATATAAAACGTTGACGTGACTTAACCGTGACTGCACAAATAGGAGGGGATGAGAAGGGCACCCAAACAGAATAGTAGACATTCGGCCTCCTTTATTTATAGTAAACTAGATAGGATCCTTGCCTTGCATGCAATACAATAATAAAGGGATCTTCTAGTATTCCAAATACATAATAAAGGGATCTTCTAGTATTCCGAATACAATCTATTAGTGGTTTACACAATCATGCACCTGTTATAATTAAATATTTTAACAATATGCATATTTACATGTTTATATATGTTTATTAGAGAAAGGATCCATGACACTGTTAATACTTTGCAACTGCAAGTTCTTCTTTATTGGTAATATCCATTGAATGCATTGCCGGATAAACTATAACACGATGACAAAATCAGAAGAACAGTAGAAAATTACAGTCAAGTCATCTATCGAACGCTAGAATAAAAAATAAAAAAATAAAAAAATAAGCTTAATAATTTCTATCTACATCCATCCAGTGTTAGTATAATGTCAAACCAAGGCAGGAAATGTGAATTTCTACTTCTATATGACGAATGTTCGACTGCGCTAAGTTGCAGGTCGACATTAAGAAAATTTGAATTTATACTTCATCCTATAGCTCTCTTTCACTTGACAAATTCGAGCAACAGAATCCAGAGAAGTAAGACACTAACCATTTGGACAAAACACTCGCACTCATAAGCCACAATAGGGAAGTATATAATACTTCGATCTAATACACCAGGAGTTGTATTTTACTACATCCGATTCATCTACATAGAGGAACATTATCTCAAGCAACCAGATCAACCTCGTCGCGCTCTGGAGAAGCTACATCTAATCTCATCATACTCCTATATTCATTTGGCACAGGTGCCCCTGCCTGCACGCATAGCTCCACCACAGCTGGAGCCTTCCCATAATACCTCTTCAGGTTGTTATCCAGAGCAGGACCATCTATGTCGCGGACATGCCAAACATAATTCGGACCCACAAGATCGTCTATTGTTGCTTCTTGCCAAGCATGCAAACCATTACGAGATTGATGCTTTGAAGCCTTGCACATCCTCACTTTGTGCCCCTTGGGACCTACCTGAACCTCTAAACAATATCCACAAGTCTTCACACTGTATTTCTCCATGATCTTCTTTGCTCCGGATATCATCTCAAACCATGAGTCCATTGTAATAATACTTAACTCGCTCAAAGACTTCCCCACTTTATCGCTCACTAATGTTTTATCCACAAGGTTAGTATCACTCTGTGAATCTGAATTCCTCAACTCCTCAACATCAGATTTAATATCAGAATGTACTACGAGATCAACAATCCCAGAATATGAGTTCCTATTCACATCATCCATTTTGTTAACCGACTCAAAATCTACAATTCTTCCTTCGATACTATATACAGGTCTCGTTCTTCTCTTTGTTGGGTACTTTTCAATCTCTAAACCAGCCTGTATACAGAGCTCCAAAATGGCCGGGATTCGTGGGATTTCAAACCTCTCATCATGCCCAACTCTTGGTTTTCCAACACGGTCATAAAGATGGAAGCATTTAGGAAAGGAAACCACATGTTGAACTCCTCCTTTCCTCCAAACATGTGTCGCACTCCTAAAACCACTGTTTGGGCCTGTACAAGTTCGTATTTCATGACCGACATGTCCAATGTGAACTTCAGAGCAAAACCTGAGAATAATTATTTAAATTAGACGACGAACTAACAAGCATAAGTATATTATATTTCTGATCAGCATGGCATTCGGTAAATCAACCAACTACAGGAAATAGATTAAGAGCCTGTATATTTATGTTAGCCATTGACTTAATAGTTTTCAGTAAAATGTTTCCATGTGTTTCCATAGACTCTAAATATCTTCCCCAAACTAGCTGCACACCAGCCCTGCCATCCATACAGGAAATTGCTTTGACAAGTTGAAAGCACCAAGCAATACACATACAACATTGAGATTACAAGCCAGAAAGAGAATCTAAATGTTAGGCAAAGATATCCCTCCTACATGATCAATACAAGTCAACCTCAATAACTAACCGTTCAACCCCTTAAAAGATATAAATCCAACTAATAGATAAAAGGAGATTCCAGTGTATATGAGTCTAAATTCACGATCCTAAGCAATTTGGACAAAAGAGGAACCTCAATGTATAGGGATGCACAAATTTGGTTCCCTAAGGTGAAATTGGCAAATAAGAGTTGACACATAAACTTGTAAACAAACTCAAGGAACGAAAACAAGGAAACAAAAAACAAAAGGCAACCTCTGGATACCTGCACCGTTGGACAGGAACAACTTGGACAAGTTTTGACAAGCCAAACAGGAGGGACTTTCGAGCTTGGTAAACTTGATGAGCTACCTCAACCAATTCAGGGACCAACAATCCATTATCAGGTGGTTCTTCAAGCATCCTGCAAGGCTCAGCCTTCCGGGCTTCTTTCTCCTCCTTGGCTCTTCGAATCAAAACCTTCATGGGTATAGGGTAAGGCTTCCTTTCTGACATTTTTTTAGGAGGTCTCGGTACATCAGCATACAAAGGATCATCTGTTTCTCCTCCTACAGTAAGGGTTCTCTTGGATGTAAAACACGCCTTTTGATCAACAAGGCAACGAATCCTTGCAAAATGACAAGTCTTCCATATTATTCTTCTCTGCATACTGTGTGTAGAGTCTCTGAACCATTACACCCACCATTACACAATATGAAATAGAAATGAGAATTAAAGTCAATCTAATAACAGTGCATTGGGTTATCAGGACTCAACTAATTTCATCTTTCAAGAATGCAAGCATAGTTCAATCGATTGCAATACTTCCAATGTAACACATAATATTTTCAGATGCATGTTTTAAAATAAAAGGATTAAAATCTGATCATTAGGCTACATTGTTGAAAAAAAAAACCGATAAACTCAGACAGCATGTACTTGGAACAACTTAGGTACAATACATTTGATATCCTTATGTTTTTTTTATCTATTTCTTCTTTCGTTCAAATATAGATATAGGGGATTAGCTATAAATATCTGCTAAATCTTGAAATTTGAAGTTGCTCCTCCAACAACAACAACAAAGCCTTATCCCACTAAGTGGGGTCGGCTGTAAGAATCCTAGAATGCCACAACGCTCAGTTTTGTTAGATCCAAATACTCCAAGTCTTATCTTACGGTCTCTTTCCAAGTCTTCCTAGATCTTCCTCTACCCCTTTGGCCCTGAGCCTCTGTCTTGTACCAGACTGTTTCAGGAACTAAGCTTGCTGGCTTGATTTAAGCTGGACTAAGTATTATCCTGCCAGCGTTGGGCGCAAGGCTGGACTAAAACTACAAAAAAAATTATTTTGATATACATTCATGGCGTAAAATAGCAACCCCTCGTTGTCATTACCAATAAGAAAACGGTCACCTGATAAAAGTTTGAAACAAATCCACATAACTCACAATTAATTAAAGAAGAAAATAACACATCTCCAAGTATTTCCCTTTCCGAATTCCGCTGCCTCAAAGTTCAATTTGGTGGTGTTGGAGCTCAATCAACTAGTAAAAAATATTGGCCTACTTGCTCCACATTGACTTCACTCCTTCTAGTTTTACAGTATCTAGTCATACAGTTTAACTCAAAGTAGAGTATACAGTCACAACAATTCCTAAGCTTTGTTTTCATTAAGGCATTTCATCAAACACTTTAGGCGCATCCCAATGACAAAATCTCGTCAAAATCGAAACATAATTTATATGAACAAAAATTATACACATTCAACTTATAACCTACTGATAAGAACTAATGACAGATAAATTGAATCGAAAACACGATTATGGACTTACCTCTTCAAATGAACAATTACTGCTGATATTTGAACCTTTCAACGTCCGGAAAAGAAGAGGGAGGGCTGCGCAACCACTCTGCAGGTTCTTCTGGTGCGAGGAAATGGTGGTGGCTTGGTGTGTCGGGGACAAAGGGGCTTTATTTTTCGTTTTTGCTTTCCTTGACATACTTATTCCCATTCTTTGACTTATTTATCCCCATTCATTTGGTTTATCGTTGTAATTGAGAGTTTTTAGAGGGTTATAGTTGCCTTTTCAGCCTAGTTTTATTTTTCTTTTCAAAATTAGCTGAAAGGAGAATTTTAAGTAAGTTTTTAGAGTTCTAAGTAATGTTATTCTAAATAGTCGGCAAATATGGTCGGAATGAAATAATTTGGTTCTTTTTTTTTATTGTTTCTTTTGAGTGCGTAGATATTGTACATTAAAGGAAGATGAAGTTCAATTAAGCCACAAAATAGGTAATGTGAGGAAGGTTAATACAAGTACTTTTCCCCCCGAAGAGAAGGACATGATCAAGCTGAATTTTGACGGATGGATTTCCAAGGATCGGGCAACGGCGGCTTTTGTTCTTAGAAATTGTGACGGTCAGGTTATGGGAGGAGTGCCTTCGATCTGGATGGGGTCACCATTACATTCGCTAAAGCAATGAGATTGAAAGAAGGCCTTTAAGTTGGCTTGGTCCAAGGGCTTCCAAAAGGTGGTGATTGAGGGCGATTCGAAACTTGTTCGTGAGGCGGTGCAAGGTAACTGGGAGGTCCCCTGGAGGATTAAAACTATCGTTGAGGATACCCATAGTCTTGCTTGCTCTTTCAACCGGGTTGTGTGGAAGCATATGTACCACAAGGCAAACTTTGTTGCGGATGCCTTTGCTCATCTCAAGTTGTTGATTGTGAATCCTTATATTTGGGATTGTTGCTTGCCTTCTGCTGCGCTTGATGTCTTTAATTTTGATTGTATTAGTAACGGTTGTAATAGAAGTTTTTGTCTTTAATAAATTTCTTTCTTGATCAAAAGAAAAATTATCCATGATGTATTGACCACTTTATCCATCAAGTATTAACGATATATCGACAAAGTCCAAAGATTGTATCATTCATTGATTTGTATTTTCATCGTGTTAGCTGCTTTCGACTAATTTATCTTCTTTTTTTATTTATTGGTTGATGACATACAATGCTTGGTTTCATGTGTAAGGAGTAATTTTGACATGACGGTTTTAGCGTACAAAGGTCATGATTTGTATTGTTTATTTTCTTTATTATCATTCAAATGTCATCTCTAAAAAAATTTCACTCAATATGAAAACTGCTAAGTTGACGGTTAATCATAAGATATTACTTATTATTATAAACATTGATTTGTTCAAAACATACAAATGACAAAAAATGAATGGTTTGGGTTATAAAGTTTGTATGATGAAACAATGTCACATTATCATACCAAGACGAATGACTTCCTGTAAAGTATTAACCACATTTGACATATTAGCTCACGCTTTCATAATTTATTTCAACTTGTTTTCACTTTCGAAATTTTTGTTTCCATTCTTTTTTCTTATTTTTCCCCTTTCTATCATCACCCTTCTTTTTTCACCAAGTCTTTCGTATATGTACATTCCTATTTCAAGCACAAAAAATAAAAAATTAAATTCTAAAAATGAAATGATTATAAATAAATAAATAAAACATCTGGTCCTCTTACTCTTAGCCAAGAATATATAGAAATATTGAACTAACTAATGCATATTTAAATGGTTTAGGTTAACTCAAAGAAAATGATAGGGAGACTGTATTTTGATAGACCATATTATTCTATTTCTCTAACAATGTGAGACTTAGTTGTATTGGTTGATCATACTTATAATAAACCAGTAATATAAGTGATCTACCAAAATATGATTTTTCTAGAATTATTCTAACCAAAAACCCTAGTTCATACAAAGTGAAAATGTCTCTTTTTTCTTTCTCTAATAGTTTCTCTCCTTTTTGGTACCAAATTTGGCCTCTAGGACGTTCTACAGTGCATAACTTGGACTTATATTATTAATTAGTGGGAAATTAAAGAAACAATTGCATCGGCTAGATTAGTCTACTCTATTTATTTTTTTTTGTTGTTGGAAACAATCCTCTCCCCCTTGAAACGTTTGTAAACTTGTCAACCTAACGACTTAAGCTTTTGCATGCGGGAAAAATGGTGAACCAAACGAAACTTATGAGTTGGTATACAAATGTCATGCAAATTAAGTACCTGGCATATACATGTCCATCCTCTTTTTTCTTCTTTGGACTATCATATACGTATATAAATGTACATATACGAATCGATACATACATACATACATATATATATTTATATTTTCTTGTCAAAAGATAAGTATAAGATAAATTTTCTAAAAATAAAAAGAACAATATATGAGAAAAAAAGGGAATGTTTATTGGTTTCTGGAGTATAAATAGAAGGAAAGCATTCATAACGGATCAAAATTATGTAAAGTAGGGTATTGTTTCTAAAGTCGTAGGCGGCCATTGTTCAATTCAAATAGAAGACGTCTGCGACTTTAGAACAACAACGATCAGGCCGTGCCTCGCTCGTGAACAACTTTGGTGCCTCTCTTGGTTTCACGAGGACCAGGTTTATCTAATCCCTTCCCTTGTTAATAACATTTTTGCATTTAATCATTCTATGTTTTATGCATGTCATATGTGTTTTACACCTCAAATGGCTATAATTATGATGTATGGGAGGAAATTGAGTAAAATAATTAATAAAATCTAAAGATTCAATTGCTTTGCGTGCGTATTGTGTCTACGTATGGACATGTTGGATAATAATACCAAATGTTCAAGCTTTTTGGTATTATGGAGAATGAGGAAATAGGGTTTAAGATCATGGATTGGAATCCATCCAATATAACAAAATAGATAATAACAAAGTGCAGCTAAGTGGCTAAGGAAATATTATTGTAGACATCGAAATTTCAGTAAAACAAATGTTCACCAATGCATTAAAGTTTTGACGTGTCAAGGCATACATGGCATACGCCACGTGTTGTACAAATTGTACACATGGCGTGTGACTCAACAAAATAGGAAGAAATACCCTTGAAGGATTAAACAAGTTTTTCTTCTCATTTTGGGCAATGACAAGGCAAGTACATTTCAATCCATTGAGGATCAAAACAAGTTTTTCTTCTCATTTTGGGCAATGACAAGGCAAGCACACTTCAATCCATTACGGATCAAAGTAAGTTTTTCTCATTTGGGCAATGACAAAGCATACACATTTCAAGTTTAAAATGGTGTTAAGTGGGAAATTAGGCCATAAGTTACACCACTTCAAGTTTAAAATGATATTAAGTGGGAATTTAGGCCATAAGTTACACCACTTCAAGTTTAAAATGGTATTAAGTGAGAAATTAGGCCATAAGTTACACCACTTCAATTTCAATATTGCATTAAGTGGGAAAATTAGGCAATGGTGCTTGGAAAGGAAAAAAATATTTTTGTGGTGGTGATTCATTCTCAAAGCCTATAAATAGGCTTCTCCATCAAGGTATCAAGCATCAAGGAGTTCACAAATACATTTCTCTACTCCAAAATTAGAAGAGGAATTCCCCAAATCCTTGAAGCTTTGAAACTCCAAAGCTTCCAACCATCCAAATTCCCAAGAATTCCGAAGGATCAAAAAAGCTCTCTTCGTTCTTCGTTAAATCCTCTTTCAAGATCAAGCCTCGACGGCCCTTGAAGATCCATTCATCAACTGTTCATCCTTATATCAAGCCCCGACGGCCCCTTGGATCAACAAACAAATCCACACATCTATTCTTCAAGATCAAGCCCAAAAGCCCTTGAAGAAAACCAACTGTTCATTCAAGATCAAGCCCCAACGGCCCTTGAAGAACTTCCACCACCTCAAGATCCCCGACGGCCCTTGAAGAAAGTGTTCATTGTTCATCATCCGTTCATCCTTAGATCAAGCCCCGACGACCCTTGGATCAACAAACAAATCCACACATCTATTCTTCAAGATCAAGCCCAAAAGCCCTTGAAGAAAACCAACTGTTCATTCAAGATCAAGCGTCGACGGCCCTTGAAGAAAACCAACCATTCTTCAAGATCAAGCCCAAAAGCCCTTGAAGATCCGCTCATCCATCAACCTTCAAGATCAAGCCAAAAAGCCCTTGAAGGAAACCAACTGTTCATTCAAGATCAAGCATCGACGGCCCTTGAAGAAAACCAACCGTTCTTCAAGATCAAGCCCAAAAGCCCTTGAAGATCCGCTCATCCATCAACCATTATTCAAGATCAAGCCCCGACGGCCCTTGAAGAAAGTGTTCATCATCCGTTCATCCTAAGATTAAGCCCCAACGGCCCTTTGGATCAACAACATCAACAAACTCATACATCCAATCGTTCTTCAAGATTAAGCCCAAAAGCCCTTGAAGATCCGCTTATCCATCAATCTTCAAGATCAAGCCCCGACGGCCCCTTGAAGAAAGTGTTCATCATTCATCATCCGTTCATCCTAAGATCAAGCCTCAACGGCCCTTTGGATCAACAACATCAACAAACTCATACATCCAATCGTTCTTCAAGATTAAGCCCCAACGGCCCTTGAAGATCCGCTCATCCATCAACCTTCAAGATCAAGCCCAAAAGCCCTTGAAGAAATCCACACAACCATTATTCAAGATCAAGCCCCGACGGCCCTTGAAGAAAGTGTTCATCCGTTCATCCTAAGCATAAGCCCCCAACGGCCCTTTGGATCAACAACATCAACCAATTCACAAATACATTTCTCTACTCCCAAAATGGAAGAGAATACTCCCCACACATCCAAAATCCTTGAAGCTTTGAAACTCTAAAGCTCTCAAGCATCCAACCCCCAAATTCCCAAGAATCCCGAAGAATGGAGAAAACACTCTTCATTCTTCGTCAAATCCTCCTTCAAGATCAAGCCCCGACGGCCCTTGAAGAAAGTGTTCATCCGTTCATCCTAAGCATAAGCCCCCAACGGCCCTTTGGATCAACAACCTCAACAAATCCACACATCCAATCGTTCTTCAAGATCAAGCCCAAAAGCCCTTGAAGATCCGCTCATCCATCAACCTTCAAGATCAAGCCAAAAAGCCCTTGCAGAAATCCACACAACCATTATTCAAGATCAAGCCCCAACGGCCCTTGAAGAAAGCGTTCATCATTCATCATCCGTTCATCCTAAGATCAAGCCCCAACGGCCCTTTGGATCAACGACCTCAACAAACCCATACACCCATTCTTCAAGATCAAGCCCAACGCCCCTTGAAGATCCATTCATC